CACCTAAGTTCAGCAAAATGCCAGACAAAAGCAGGTGAACATTAATTGATGAGCAATTAACCAAGAGAAGGCAATATTTGCATTTGCACATGAACATTTTTGGAAATGTACAAGAGAAACTTAGTAAGTACTCTAAGCACTGGAGGAACAGAGATTTGGAATAATCATGGCAAACAGGACAGCATAGAGCAAGAACAGACCTACGAATTTATCTCATTATAGTTATTCTATAGCCACCTGCATCTTAGAACTACACTTAATACATCATTTCCCTTCAACTAAAGCATATTTAATTTGTTATTTGGAAAAAAACTAAAGAAAACTAAAGCCCAGAAAAGGCACAGGTAAAGATCTAGAACCCGGAGTACTCTGCCCAGTCTTTGCTGGCCCACAGACAAGATATCTGAGTGAGTAACACCTTGTGCTGAAACAGAGATGTAGGAAACATTAAGGCAAACTTCTTAACCAGAAACACAGTAAGAGAGATGTCATATTGAGAGAGTATTAAAGGATTCCCATCCCACTTCAAAAGAAGTATTCAGCTACACACATAACTCCAAGACTTCATTCAAAGACTTGAAATGCCAAAATAGAAACCACACCAGCTCTCACTCTGTCCTTGAGAATTCAACTTAAGCCTAAATAATTCATCTGGGGAAGCTGCTGAGAAGGCACAAATTCCAGTACAGCAAAATTAAGAAGTGATGCTTGTGTGCACTTTTTGACTGAACACACTTAACAAAGGGTCATTTTCAAGAGTAAAGGTAGGAGATAAAAGGTCCCCTCAATCAGAATCCTTCCTCTGTACCTTAGAGGCCAGCGAGTTAAAACAGATGTGTCTAATGAACTCTACATCTAACATTTCTTCTGAGAAAGTGCCCTGCAGCTACATCAATCTCTACATTTGAATTTCATGTGCACAAAGACAGCCTACATCCAGACTGTTGCTCAAGCTTCTTCTAGAAGCTCAAGCTTGAGTGAAGATACCAGTTGCTGCCGTTGTTAGGCTTGGAACGTATTGCACTTAAGACAGCAAACTTCAAGTTGTGTCCTGGAGGCTGAAGAATAACCATACACCAATCCACATCCATTTGGCTTTTCCCCTAATCACAGAGCTACGAATCTTTAACTAAAAACCCTGAATGTTTGTTCCTGTAACAGATTCCTAAATTTCAGCAGACAGTTACTTCAACACAACTGCATTTAAGTTACCTGCAAAGCCAAACTCTGAGTCAGTACCAGCTTTAGAGACTTGTGTACCAGTCACAGAAGTGTCTATGTGAAGGACAGACACCTGATGGGTTGAGACATGATCTTTGGAAACGGAGTATGCTGCTCTACTAAAATCTAGGTGTCAAAATGTCCCTGTTGGGGTGGAGGTAACAATCCACCTAACATCTAGCTTCACTTCACTTTCTACTTCCTACAGTACCCGTCAGGTAATCCCTTCACTTCTTAGCATACACATCTTGCACCGTAATGGCAGTAGACACGAGGTACTCTTTAACGCCTCTCAGCATTAAAAGCTCAACCCGTCGTAACCCTGCTTTCAGCTGTCTCCTCTTTCCCCTTTGCTTGGTCAGACACGCATAGCAACCAATGTGACGGGCGTCCCCCCCGCCGCACGGCCACCCTGACA